GCTTTCATCCATAGATGCTTCTCAAGCAAATCCCGGGATGTCATTCTCCCCCTGTACTCGGCCTTAGTGAGGCCGCAGCTGGAGTACTGTGTCCAGTTTTGGGCTCCACAATTCAAAAAGGATGTGGAGAAGCTTGAGAGAGTCCAGAGAAGAGCCACGCGCATGATCAGAGGTCAGGGAAGCAGACCCTACAATGAGAGGCTGAGAGCCCTGGGGCTCTTTAGCCTGAAAAAGCGCAGGCTCAGGGGTGATCTGATGGCCACCTACAAGTTTATCAGGGGTGACCACCAGCATCTGGGGGAACGTTTGTTCACCAGAGCGCCCCAAGGGATGACGAGGTCGAATGGTCACAAACTACTTCAAGATCGTTTCAGGCTGGACATAAGGAAGAACTTCTTTACTGTCTGAGCCCCCAAGGTCTGGAACAGCCTGCCACCGGAGGTGGTTCAAGCGCCTTCATTGAACACCTTCAAGATGAAACTGGATGCTTATCTTGCTGGGATCCTATGACCCCAGCTGACTTCCTGCCCTTTGGGCAGGGGGCTGGACTCGATGATCTTCCAAGGTCCCTTCCAGCCCTAATGTCTATGAATCTATGAATAGCATGTCCCACCAGCAGCAGCCAGCAGGACATACCAGGTCCTGAGTTCATTCCTTAAACACTTTGGAGGAATGAATGCACCGAACTCCAATAAACAGTATTTAGTGGCTTAGAGAAAGGAAATAGATCCATCCTGTTTGCAGAGCCTTTCCCATTGTGTGCAATCTTTTCTGAGTGAATGATGGAGACAAGAGGCTATTTGGCAGGCAGTGTATCAGTGATGAGATAAGCAAAGTGTAATGCACCCTGATCCCAGTCACCACAGATCAGCTCACTCTTCCCTTTTACATTGTTTTAATTGTTCACCTAGCCACACTTTTATTTACAAATACACCAGCATACAAATAAATGGCAGAAGTTGGCTCATATTTATATCTGGTTCAAGCTTTATGTGTGTATATCATTAAATGTGTATGTGTATATATCATTATAAACATTAATGAAAATTTCATGTCAGTAAAGTATTTTAAGAGTTCTTTTACATTTTCCAGGGAGATGGTGAAAACGTCATGATTATTACAGGACCCAACATGGGTGGAAAGAGCTCCTACATAAAGCAAGTTGCACTGATTACGGTCATGGCGCAGATTGGTTCTTATGTTCCTGCAGAGGAATCTGCAGTCGGCATTGTGGATGGTATTTTTACCAGGTAATCTATGAAAACTTCTTACATACTTCAGAAAAAAGAAATGCTGGGACACAGTTTTTAAAACACTTAACTATAGTTTTACATTTTTAGCTCACAACTTGTAATTTCAGTTACTTTTTTCTAAATTGTATGCTTTCTAAATTCACCTTGTTTTCTTCTCATTAAAATAACTGATCACAATGTCCATTCATAGCTGCCTGCAGGTTTCCCTCAATTTATGCTGTGCAAGTGTTCCCAGAGAACGGCGCATAAATCGAATTCGCATAAAGCAGGGGTGTCCAACCTTTTTGAATGTGGGGCCAGATCACAAACTTTTTATCACCCAGTGGGCTGGCGAGCAATATTCAGAGACGTGGGCTGGCGAGCCATATTCAGAGACCTCACAGGAAGTGGTATCACATCAGGAATAGATGTCACGTGACCTTTGACACCAATGAAGTTGCAGGAAGTGACAATGAAATGGGTCTAACCAGTTCAAAACTCTCCCTCTAAATGACTCATTTCCTGGATCTCAGCAAGTAAGCTGGCATTCTCAGATAATATGCAAGCGTCACAGATCCGTTAATGTCACAGTCCATCAGTCCAGTTGCCCTGTGCTTTAGAGTCCCAGTGAAGACATTAGCATTATTTCTGGCTGTGCAATGTCTGTGCATCCCCAGTGGAGGGAAGGCATCCCACTACAATTCATTTGTTTTACCCAACAACATATATCAAATCCTTCCAGGGAAACATCTATTTCACTCCATCACCTTTCCTGCCAGGAACTCTTCTCCCCTTCGCTATACACCTCCAATGTCAAGGAGGGGCGCGGGGTCTGGTGGGTCTCTGCCCCCTGAAGAAGCTTTCTCACTGCTAGAGACTATTGGGGAGGGCCCGCCCCCCCCCCAACCTGCGTCTAGTCGTAGTTTTCCTTTAGGTAAAGTTTCAGGGCCGCACCTGGCACCACGCAAATGCCTGGGCATTCCGGTGCAGGGAGGCAAGGAGGAGCTGCCGGGGCCGGCACAGAAGGGAAGCGCAGCCACACACGTGGAGCCCAGAGTCCGTGCAGGGAACTGCAGAGGCGCTCAGGCCCCGCACCTGTAAATGGAGCAGGATTTGGCCCGAGGGGTTAGGGCACCTCTTGGCACTGAACTGACGCTGCATAAGCAGCACATCCCCAGGCCGCGGGCTTCCACTCCGCGCCTGACCGCGCTGGACTTTTCCGCAGCCCGGCCCCACAGCCACCCGGCGCCAGGCATGGAGCTGCGAGAAACCTCGCCAGGGCGGGCCCCAACCCACTGGGGGATCCCGGAGCCCAGCAGGGGCAGCGCAGCGGGAGACGTGGTGAGGACTGATGAAGGGCGGCTTCAGCTGCATGCCGCTTTTCCTGGCTGGTGCTGACCCGGCTGGGTCCATCCCATCCGGAGCAGCACGCGACTGAAGCCGACTCCCCACGTGCTGCTGCGGACAGGAGGAGCCCGGCCGGGTCGGCACCGGCCAGCAGAAGCAGCGGTGGAGCCATGCGTCGCTTGGGACAGGACGAGTCTGGCCGGAGCAGCAGGGGCTCAGCTGCATTTTCCCCTATCTGCTTTGGTCAGTCCCAAGCGGCACACGGCTCTGCCGCCACTTCTGTTGGCTGGTGCCGACCTGGCCAGGCTCCTCCCATCCCCAGCAGCACATGGGAATCCAGCTTCAGCCGTATGCTGCTGTTCCTGGCCAGTGCTGACCCGGCTGGGGCCCGCCCACCTCGAGT